TTCAACATATGATGAATGACATCTTTCGGTATAAGGTATGGCCATTTTGAATATAATGTCATGCCTTTCGGTCTTACCAATGCTCTAGTGGTCTTTCTACACATGATGAATGACATCTTTTGGAAGCACCTTGACGATTTTATTGTCATCTATCTACATGTTATTTTGATATTTTCTAAGAATGTAGAAGAGCATGAGAAACACCTTCATGTGGTCCTTGAAAAACTCCATGAGTGAGGACTTTAGACTAAGTTGGAGAAGTGCTTGTTTAATCAAACGGAGATGGAATTTTTGGGATTCATTGCAACTATGGAGCGCTTGAAGATAGACTCTAAGAAGGTGGAAGTAATCGTATCATGAGAAGTTCCAAAGACGATTGAAGATGTACAATGCTTTCTTGGCTTTGTTAATTTCTATCGAATCTTCATCAAGAATTATTTTCAAGTTGTTGCTTCGCTCACTCGATTGACATGTAAAGATAAGCTTGAATGAGGACCTCTAGCAAAAAAAGTATTTCAAGATCTTAAGATGGCATTTACTATGGCTCCAATCTTGGTACATCTGGACTTTACAAAGGTCTTATATTTGGAGACCGATGCTTCAGATTTTGCTATGGAAGCTGTACTTTTGTAGATAGGCGCAGACGAGAAGCTTCATCCGGTTACGTCTACTCTCGAAAGTTTTTTGCTGCCAAGATCAACTATGAGATCCACAATAAAGAACTTCTTGCGATAGTAGATTCTTTCGAAGAGTGGCGTCACTTTCTTGAAGGAGTTGCGCATCGGTGACCATATATACAGATCACAAGAATTTGGAGTACTTCATGTCGGCTCAGGTTCTGAATCGTCGTCAAGTTCGATAGAATATGTTGCTATCCAGGTTTGACTTTGTTATTACTTATTGGCTTGGGAAGCAACAAGGACTATCTAATGCATTATCAAAGAGATCGTATCTAGTGCCAAAGGCTAGAGAAGCAATATTTCATCAATAGTGTACAACATTGTTGAAGTCGGAACAATTCAGGCTTTGCTTTGCTATAATGTCAATTGATGCTGACTTCTTCAACCAGATACATACTTCGACTATTGGAAATTCTATAGCCCTTAATATCACACAACGCGTCAATAATGATAAGTTCAAGGTCGAAGGAGAACTTTTATACTTTGAGGAGCGGTTGTATATTCCAAAGGGACCAACACAACTCTAAGTTCTTCAATCTCGACACGACTTTCCAACTGCGTGACATTTTGGATTTAATAAGACCTTAGAACTTATTTCCCGAGATTTTTGGTAGCCCCAAATGTGAAAGGATGTCAAGGATTTTGTCCTCTCATGTGACATTTGTTTAAGTTCCAAGAACCCTTGGCATCATCCTTATGATCTTCTTTAGCCATTGCCTATTACACGTTGGCCGTGGTCTTCAGTTTTCATGGACTTTATTATGGACCTGCCGCCATCGAATTCAATTGACAACATCTTTGTTGTTGTAGATCGGCTTACAAAGATGGCACACTTTGTCCCTTGCAAGAAAACATCGTCAAGCAAAGACATAGCAAGGCTCTTCTTTGATAGTATGTATCGATATCATGGTTTACTAGATGATATTGTATGGGATCGAGGAACCCAATTTATATCAAAGTGCTGGAGATCTCTCTTTGACATATTGAAGGTGGATATCAAGCTTTCTTCGGCTTTCCATCATCAAACTGACGGCCAAACGGAATAGGTGAATCAAATTTTGGAGCAGTATTTATAATGCAGCATCAACTATCAGCAAGATGATTGGACTACATATCTATTATTAGCCAAGTTTGTATATAACAACACCCTTCATGTGTCGACTCAACAAACACCATTCTTTTCTAACTATGGGTATCACCCGAAGCTTGATTTGTTGAGTCCGTCAACCAATAACAACTCGACAGATGAAGGATTTGTGAAACAACTATCAGAGCTTCAAACTACATTGAAGCTTCAATTGCAAACTGCCTAAAAAGCTTACAAGGCATCCGTAGATAAATTTTGGAATCACGCACCTACTTTCAAAATTGAAGATAAAGTATGGCTGCTTTGACGGAATATCAAAACCAAGCGGCCATGTGATAAGTTCCACTATCGGAGATTAAGACCATTTGTCATTCAGAAGCAAATCAATCCAGTGGCATACCATCTGGGATTACTGGATGCTATGAAGGTACACCCAATCTTTCATATTTCTTTGTTGGAGCCTTATCAAGAGTCATCTTTTTCTGGAAGAGTGCAATATCCGCCACTTAGTATTGAAATTGAGAACCACGAGGAATACGAAGCGGAAAAGGTACTAGATTCATGGCATAAGTGGAAGATTTGGAGTACCTAGTGCATTGGAATGGCTATGATATCAATGAGCGCATATTAGAATTAGTGGAAAATCTTATCAATGCATCGCAAAAGATATAGGAGTTTCATCAATGCTATCCTCAAAAACCTAAGCCCTTTCCATGAAAGTTTTTCAGTGAAGTCCCTTCTCCTTGAAGCCTCTTAATCCTCGGCCTTATAAAGAAGGGGAGAAAGGAACCTATAAAAGACATAATTAGAGAATATAAATTTGTAACATGAGCCCATTCTTCCATGTTTAGTGCTAGTTTTTTCGGTCTGATATGGATAGCCAAGAGATAGATACCATACTAGTCATGTCCTCTCAATCGAGTATCTCACAAAGACGACCCCAAGATAAAGAACCACCTGTACTATGAAGATGACGGAGGATACCTAGTAATAGGTCACTAGTAATTGTGTTTGAGGTAGAACTTGCCTATGGTGATCTTCTCGAAGGAATGTTTGCAGGGTAATTTCACAATGAAGACACGAAAGTTCATACCTGGTCGGAAATCAAAGGCGTAGGACACTATCGTTGGTTACAAGGACCAATAAACTACTTACCATGCAAACAACAATTGGAGTATATTGCAGATACTATGCGACAAATTTTCAACTTCTTTCATTGGTACTGACTCGCAATAGGAGTGCTTTTCGGAGACCTTGAAGCTAAAGGGAGAGGGAGGTGATGTCAAGGACATACATTAAGAAGTTGTAGAAGATTCTAGAAGGTTCTAGAGAAGCTTTGTAGTTTATAGAAGCTACTTGAGAAGTTTTCAAGCTGGTGGAAGCTGCTTGAGAAGCTTTCTAGTTTGTGGAAGCTACTTGAAAGGTTTCCTAGCTTATAGTATATATATAAGAGCTGAGACTGAAGGGATCCTTAGTCTCGACAACACATCTCTTGGAGCTCTAGCTCACCTCTCTAGTATTGTTCCTATACTCATCTGATTAATCTAGTTCTTGCTGATTCTTCTTGAGCTTCTTGTTTAGATTTTTAGTTAGTATTCTAAATTCGAGACACAACGCAACTCTTGCTTTTCTAGTATTGGAAGGATGTTCTACTATAGGACAAGGGATATGATATAGTATAGATGTTGAAGTGGCTCCAATCATGTCTATATCTTCACTTCTTGCCATTTTTGTTGCTTCACGTGGCAATAAACTTAGTAAAACCTATGAACGACTTAGGAGAGTACCAAAACCTGCCAAGAAGGGGCACCAAAATATCCATGTTCTTGACTTATTTTATTTTAATTTCAATAAACTACACTAAGTTAATTGAGAACCTTTGGATTGCAAAATATTCTATATTCTATGAAAATAAAATAATAAAATAAATATAAAATATGTTTACAAAAATAATTTTTATCCAAATATAAAATAGTACATAATTTCTAAAAAAATGATTATAATTCTTACAATTTATTTATGTAAATAAATAAATAAATTTATCCTTGTGTACTATGAAGTTATTTTGTAAATATAGTATTCATATAAACAAAAAATTAAATTTGTATTAAAAAAATTCATAGACCTACTTTATACAAAATAGAATTAAAAAAAGCCAAAAAATGCTGAGAATAGTTGTTGAACATGTATTCTCCACTACATAATCCACACTTTTCAAATCTACATAAAGCACGAAACCAACTTACTAAATCGCCCAGAATCAACTTCTTGCAGAGAACAGATGTAGCCTTTACGAAGTAACTGATGACTGCAACAAACCGCTTTCTACATGAATGCTTCCATGTTCCGGTGATGTTCAGTGGGGAGCTATGAAATCTTGCACAACCATGAGTGTGGGCTTGTGTTTTCATGGCTCCACAACTTTGCAGCCGATTTGCGGCGACAACATCTGATTTGAAGCTTACCTACACACGTGCATACAATTTTTCTAGCTCCTGCTTCGCTTCATCGACGGCATCGACAAAGCCTAAGCCAACGCTAGCGGCAGGACCGCAGATTTGAGCTGAGGCAATGGCAAGGTCAGGATTAGTGTTGGACCCGTCTGCTGTAGAAACAGTGACGCCCATCCCTGCCAATGTGGGGCAACAACCTCTAGGACAAGATGCTGACAGCATCTTTGTCTTCATTTGTGACTCTGCACAATTGTACTGCCTTACTGTTGTGTCCTCTGGGGAAAGGAGTATATTTCGAACTGCGTAATTGGAAGTTTGGAGAATATGTTTGCATCAAGGTGAAGGGTGATGTACATGTTTATGCTACAGAACTTTCTATCTTGGTTTTTTTGGTACTTTGTGCATTGTCACGAACCGTGCTGTGGATGTGGTGACGAGCAAGGAAGTGGTCGCTTGTGATGACTTGCCCTTGTTTCAAGAATTGAGTTCAGTTTCGTGGGAGAGACGCTAGTTGAAGTGATTCACAGCCTTTATTCGTTGAGGCATCTTCCGACACGCCCGAATTTGAGCCATTAGAGTGATTTTACTTAGTCTAGTAATGCTTCGTTTCGTCTAGAATGTAGATTTCCGAGGTGACGTAGTTATGCAGTGTTTTTAGCTACAGGCTTTTGTATCATTGAACCAAGTGCAGATTTCATACAAATCAGAGTGTAGAATAGTAGTTCCGGAATTGACTGCACAAAATTGTAAATTTAAAACGACATAATGTACGCCCATGGAGATGTATGTCTTCATGTTCATCTGTGATCAAAATATTGCATGTTATATGAAGGCATGAAAAGAGACACTACCATAAACCCGTAAATGAGGTGAAACATTGACTCAGCTTCGCACCTCAATAACTGAAACATATATTACTGGTAACAAAGAAAATACAATTGTCTACAACTGTAAGATATATTCACCGCTGAACAGCCTACAAGTTTACATTCTCTTGCGAGAATTACGAGATTTTGCACACAGTCATCCCCTTGGCAGTCTTCGGACGTTCCAAGCACCGAGTCTTCCATGCCATGACGTTGGGGAAATTGTCCAACCCAACCTTCTCCCTGCCACCGTAACCTGTGTCAAGACAGCCGACCCAGGGGAAAATGGCTATATCGGCTATTGAATAGCCGCCGTCAATGAGAAATTCCCGACCCTCCAGCCGCTTCTCCAAAACCCCAAGAAGCCGCTTGGCTTCGTTGGTGTAGCGCTCCACGGGATATGGGTGCTGACACTTATCCTTGGCGTACTTGAAGAAATGCCCGAACTGTACAGTAAGGGAGAGCAGAAGTTAATCACCTCTATTTGTAATTGATGGCCAAGGTTCGGTACGTAATAATTTTACCTCTACTGAGAATGATAATGAATTGCAAGAGATAACGACAGAGCGTACCTGACCGAACATGGGTCCAATTCCACCCATCTGGAAGAAGACCCACTGAATGGTTTCCCATTTCAGCCGGGGGTCTTGAGACAAGAATTTCCCAGACTTCTCTGCGAGGTAAAGCAAGATCGCGCCACTCTCAAATACGTTCATAGGTTTGCCATCTGACACAACAATTCCAGCAAATCCAACGCCCACAATAATAATCAAATTCCAAGCTGCGAATATGACTATCATCAACGACAGTCTTGGATATGTGACAATGGCCACTGCATGTTGATTTTATTCGAAGAGAAACCTCTTAATAATCAAAATAATACTGCAAGAAGCCTCACTGACCTGGGCCGTTAGGATCAACAATGGCAGGGATCTTGGAGTTTGGATTAATAGCAATGAACTCCGGTGTGAATTGGTCGTTCTTGAAAATATTGATGGTGTGTGGCTCATACTCCAATTCCATCTCCTCGAGAGCAATGCTGACCTGCAGCAGTCATTCATCCTAACGATTGAAAAAAAAATGGAAGTACTAAACAATATGAGATGCATCTTACTCGTCGAAGGTTTGCCACTTTTCAGGCCATCTGAGTAATAACAGGAACTTACCATTGATCGCATGGCATACCCAAAATCCCGAGCATCGCACCCGAGACCTAGAAGACCTACGTGACTATATTCAAAAAAATAAATATGACTGATTACGACAACGCAAGTAAACCTAGAACAGCCAATTTTGCAGAAAATCAAGCCTCACCTTCTGGCCATTTGGTGTGGCCATGCTGTAAAGCTGAATCTTCGCCATTGTAGAGTCCACGACGTTTGCTACAAGGGAACTTCTTCACAATTAATTGGCGAATTCCCACGTTTCGAGTCGATTTCAGAAGCCTCACCACAAGTCTTCAAATTTCTGCAAATACCAGTCAAAATCAGAAAACCACGGCTGGTATCGACCAGAACCAATCTAGTGCATCGATCGACGAACCATTGAACACCCATATATTAAACTACAGCATGCCCAGAAGCCGCACCCAACCCACAGCTTACCTTCAACAAACTCAGGGTATCAAAGCATGTACAAGTGTAATTACTAGCAACGAGCTGCACTCGATTATATATAAGAAAAACCGAGCAGCCTAGAATCATCAGGCGAAATTGTCATACCACCCAAGTGGCCATGAATGAGCCATGGCCTTTTCCTATTAGAGGCGAAGCTTCCAAGTGTCTTTCCAGCTTAAAATTATGCATGGGTCGATGGATAAATAATCTCGTCGGGGCGTTCATCGTCCCCAATGGCACCCTGTGCTTTCGTCAAGTGGTATATACTCCATCTGTAATTGCTAATACATGGCCAAGTGGCACACCCTAAATCTGCATTAACAACCTGCACGGTACATATTCGACAAAATAGTTTTCAACAATGCCATTCATCGCATTTTTTGGGAGTTGAAGCACCTTATCTGGCAACAGATACCGTAGACGGTACAAGATTCAACCATCGCAGTGATCCCCCGACAGCTAACTTTGGTCTTCCGAAATGTTAAACATAAACTTCATGTTACACCAGAATCATACCCCCCCCAAAAACAAGAATGTGTGCGGTTTTTTTTTTGTAAATTGAAGGCTTCTCCAGGTTCTGATGACCCAATTGTTGCTTTTTCAAGCTCTGGCTGTGAATTATGGACTCGTTTCTACGAGCATGTCGAAACTGGAGCCCTCCTGGGCAAAAGGTGGGGGTCACCTGTACGCAGCGAAGAGTATTAACACAGATGACGTGTGCGTGTGTTGCAGCCACCATCTTGAGAGGAAGAAGCTTGGGAGATTGCTATGTTCTCTTGTCCACCTGCTAAAAGATCATTCAAACTGACGTCAATGCAAAGCACCAGAGAAATGTGGTTTCACAGGTGCTTGTAGCCGGAATTGGGGACCGCAATCACTGCAGCATTTGCAATTTCGAGAAGCTATGGACGCTGACAGATGGACTTCGAAATGATCAACTTATGCTTGTCAAAGCAAGCAGCTAGTTCGGTGAACAGATGGGTTATCTATAATATTCGTTCATTAGATGATCAACTGTGGTCTCACAGTTCCGGGTCTGTGAGGGGGAGAGGATTCCAGCAGAACGAGCCTCCGGCGATCATCATCTCGTATCAAGCATTTGTTGCGGTGGAAAGGTGATCACATGCTTTTGTTAAGAAATTGAATCACTGAGTGTATTGTGCGAGAAGCAATATATCCTTGCTCCTCCCCCTTTGAAGATCTAACAAATGACGAAACCTGTTTGGCATCTTAACGTTTTGTTTTCTTTTTTCTTTTTTTTCGCAATGTGTTTCTTCATATTTATTTTTTTATTTTTATATATTTATAGAGTGCCTTACTATTAAACTTTTAGATTTGATAATGGAGTAACTTTTGCAAAGGGCTCTATTCAAGGTAAGGGTATTTTCAACTTTTTTTGGAAGAAGGGAAATCATTGGATAAAATTTGAGTGCAAATGGTTTTTATTTACAAAATCAATAGTAGTTGTAAATTATTTAAATAATCAATCTTTCTTTTTTAAAATACCTATATCAACTCCAATCAAATAGTTACAATTATAAAGCAATGAACCTTTAAAAATATAAAAATAAATGAGACATAGTATTTTATAGAATTTTTTTTGTGTTAATTGATATCTATGAGGTGCCCATTAATATTTTATTTAGTATTTGGATATATAAATCATAATTTGTTTTTATTGTGATATCTTATCATTTTTTTGTATAGTATTCTTTCTATTAATTAATATCATTTGTTGCAAAAAAAAATATGAATTAATAGAACTTATTAATTATTAAAGATGATACATTGAAGTGTATAATTAAAGGTAGGATAGAAGTGATTCTAGCAAGGGCTCTACATCATCCTTTGTTTGCTTCAATCTTCGTGACTATGTTAATTACCTTTGTTAATTAATAAAATCTAATAAAAATAAATAAATTATTAGATTATTAATTATGTATCATAGAATGGAGTTGGTTTCAAAAAGTTTAAATAATTCTTGGAGATCATTAGTTTTTAGGAGATTAATTATGAAAAGAATCTTATACAAAGTTCTAATAACATCATCTACTATATTTCTTCCAATTATATGTTAAAAAAATCAATGCAAAATTATGCATTTACAAAGAGATTTATACAATATATATATATATATATATATATATATATATATATTTATTAAGATCTAAACTAGTTTACACATAATTAAAATTCTATTAGATGAAGAGCCACTAAAATTCTTAAAATTATCATGGAATGCCATAAATGCTTACCAAATAGGATGTATGTGGCAGCATGGAGATACTATATATGCTCCTTTTACCAAGAGAGAGAGGCTACAAAATAATGCTTCCTTTTTCTTTTGGAATCCCTAATTAAATATTTTTTTAATGACAAATAAGCCTATCATATTCCATGTACATTAAATAGAGAAAATATGAAGCATTATTATAAGATTGCATGATTTGGTATCATAATGGCCATTTGATATGTGGAGGGACAAGACTCTTGTACCAAATTTATATAGGATCTACAAGTTATCTAGTTATCAAAAAGATATGTAAAAAATGTACAAACCTTTGTCTTTATTTTTCTAAAAAAGAATATGATTTAAGATCTAATTACATTATAGAATATGATGAAATTATTTTCTATTAAGTCTAAATCTTCTACTTTTACAACAAAATTATACCTAAAATAATCAATATTTCTTCTTAATTATCTTAATTTTTTGGATGTTTAATTTAAATATTTAGTATTTATAATTATTTATATTGTGTATTTAACTTATTTTAAGATTTTTCTACATTATTTCTATTTTAGTATCCAATTTCCAAAATATTCTATTTTTACAAGCCATTAACATCAAAATTATAACTAATCAATATTGTGACTTAAAACATGTCTAAAACTCTGTATGAAGTTAAATAAATTATACATACAATCAAATTTTATTTATTTATAACTAGTGTTTTTTCAATAAAAGAAAATATGATAGATTTATTTTTTTAAAAAAATTTCAAATAATTCATCCATAAGTAAAAAAGCATTGAGTATTTATAGTGTCTTATTTAATTTTTATTGAAATTTTATTTTACTATTTTAACATATTTTATAAGTTGCTAAATACTTGTAATGGTAAAAAATAAATAAATAGTATTCTATTGTAAATTTAATAAGTAATATTAGTTTCAGTTTTATTTTCTACAACAAAGATTGAAGTTTTATGAATTTCATTTTGGTTTGAATTAATAAAAAAATGTCAGAAAGTGATTTTTGTTTGGTTATTTTTTATTACTTGAATGTTTTTCCAGCCGATTGTTTAAATCTCGTATTGCAAAATTTATAGATTTGATAATTGTACATTTTTTTAGGTTATCCACTATTAAATTAAATACTTTATATATTTTTATAAATATATGCTTAATCTTTAATCTAAAAAAATAAATTGAAAAATATTAAAATAAAAATATTATATAATACTAGCAAAAGATATATTTTTTCTACCTTTTTTTTACATTGTATCTAATAAATTTTAAATTAACTTTTTTCTTGATTCCTTATGTATGTATATATATATATGTATATATGAATTTAAAAATATTTTTTAATAAAATTTTAAAATTTTAATATAAAATATCATCTATCAATTTGGAGCTAAATAATGTTAATGTTTCATGCTTATTTGTTAAAAGTTAATTATTATTAAGGTACTTACATCAAATAATTTATTTTTACAATACATTGTATAAAAAACAATTAGTTGAAAACACTACACTTCTTTCAATCTAAGAATCTTTGTTATATTATATTATAATATTTAAATCAAAACCGGTATTATTAAATAAAAATGAAAAGAATAACATTCTAATATTAAGTATTGAAAAGAATAATAAAATAAGTAGTTAAACCTATTTTTAGAAAGTTTTATAGGTAAACCAATGAGCACTATATATATCAAAATTACAAAATTAAAATTATATTTTTGCAAGAAATTTAATCATGCTTTTCTGTAATATTAAATTGATTTGGTTGATCTAGTTGTTATCATAATAATTAATTAAAGAAATTATTCTAATAAAAATACCATATTAATTTAGTTTCTATTTTATTTTTAAAATTGTCAAATACAATAATATTATTAATTTAATTTATACATTAATTAAAACATACATGTATACTATGTAGCATATACTAACTACTAAGAAGGTATTTGAAGTAAACAAAAATAAATTAATTTTTTTATTAAATTATTTTAAAATAGATTCAAATTTTTTTAATTATACTATTTAAAAATAAATCAAACATTAGTTAGCATTCTAAAAGTTATTTAAATTTGTAAAAAATAAAGTTCTATTTCTATTGTATTTTTTTTACAATTTTTTTATATTAGTTGTTATTATTAGTTATTTAATTAATTACAAATGCTGTTTATTAAAAATTTTAATTTAAAATAGTATTTTAAAATAAAAATTAGGATGTATAAAAATTCAATATATTTAAATAAATATTATAATATTTTTTCCAAAGGTTCAGAAAATAATTATTTAAAAATGAAATTTAATAAATAATTCTATCAACCCAAATGTTCATATCTTTTGTTGTGTACCAAATAATATCAACAACAATATATATATATATATATATATATATATATATATTTATTATTTTTGGTTAACTTTAATTCCATAAGATCATTATTTATTGGATCTTTTTTTCTCTATTCAAGAATTTATTAAACATGTACCTAGTAGAAATTCTTGCTACAAAAAAGCTTTCACATTACTAATTTCAATCATTTAACAAATTCATAATAATCACACAATACAATCAAAGCCTTGTTAAATTTTGATCTAAATATAGTAATAAATATCAAAACATTACTTGACTTACAACCTACTAACAAAAGATTTTTGTAAATTTTTACAATAAAAAGATATGAAGAAGAAAAAACACACATACATTAAGAAATTTTGTTTGCATGAAGTACTTGTAGTATTATCTCACACTACGTGATACAATTGCATTAGTGTAGATAAAATTGCAAGCTACACATGACCAAAAGAATTCAATACATCCAATAAATGAATTATACTAAACTTGATGATTTAGCACCATCATAATTTGGCTTAGGCTATACACACCTCAAATTACTATATGCACATCA